CCCACTAGATCCCCCCTCAGCCTTCTCTTGTGGAGGCTGAACAGGTTCAGGTCCTGTAGCCTCTCCTCATAGGACCTGCCCCGCTGCCCCCTGATCACGCGAGTGGCCCTCCTCTGGACCCTCTCCATGCTGGCCACATCCCCCCTGAAGTGCGGCACCCAGAACTGGATGCAGTACTCCAACTGCGGCCTGATCAGTGCTGCATAGAGGGGGAGGATCACCTCCTTGGACCTGCTTGAGATGCATCTGTGGATGCATGACAAGGTGCGGTTGGCCTTCCTGACCGCGTCCCCACACTGTCGGCCCATGTTCATTTTGGCATCAATAATGACTCCAAGATCCTTTTCTGCCTCTGCGCTGACAAGAAGGGAGTTCCCCAGCCTGTAGGTGTGCTGCTGGTTCTTCCCCTCCTCCAGGTGAGCACCTTGCACTTGTCAGTGTTGAACCCATCCTGTTCTCATCCACCCACCCCTGTAACCTGTCTAGGTCCGATTGCAGCCTATTCCTCCCTTCTACTATGCTCACTTCCCCCCACATCTTAGTGTTGTCTGCGAATTTAAACAAGGAGCTTTTTACCCCCTCGTCCAAGTTGCTGATGAAGATGTTGAACAGTGCGGGCTCGAGGACCGGGCCCTGCGGAACCCCACTGCCCACATCCCTCCAGGTCAAATAAGACCCATCCACTACCACCCTCCAGCCAGTTAGTGACCCAATTGACTGTGTAGGTGTTGACGCCACAGTCCCCTAGTTTTTTAATGAGAATGGGGTGAGAGACCTGTGCTCATCACTCTCTGATCTAGTGACTGATAGAAGCAGGGTGTCCTTTAATGTGTGTTTGGAACTGAGGAAGGTAAAGCTTGTGCTGCTCTGAAGGCAGCTGTATTGCTGCTAGAAGTGGGAGGGATCCTTTCCACCTAAATCTCCTGGAATTTCAGAGCAGGGAGGGTTGTGGGGGAGGGAAGCTGGCAAATGGGTCAGTTTTTTGTTTTGTTTTTTTTTTTACTTCCAAGGATAGCCAAGAATGGGGTCAAAGTGAGTCAGGAGGCAGCAGGCATAGATATGGTCTTCCCTTGGGATAGTGGCAAGTGTCCACAGCTGGGAGGCAGGGTGAATTTGGGTGTGTGGGACCATGGGGTTGCCTGATGGCAGGCGGTGGCTGTTGGAGGAAGGGAGCCAGGGCTTGGTGCTTTTGGCAATAAGGGAAAAAATGGAACAGGACGGTGGGCAGCTTCAAAACAACATGTAGCTCTGTCTCCAGGGTCCTGCCACCAGATTCAGTGTCCAGTCTTGCCAGGGGTCCCAGTAGGATGGGTTGGATCAGTCTGGAGCAATGGAAGTGGAGACAGTTTGGGGCATCTTGCTGTCTTTAGTGTGTGGCAAAGAAGCTAAGTGACTTGCTCAAAGTCATTCAAGGAGTCTTTAGCAGAGCAGAAACTTGAGTTCAGGGATTCCAAGCCAGGGACCAGCAGTGTTGGGGAAGGGTCACTACCCAGGGCATCCATCCTGCTGGCACACAGGAGATTTACGAGTTTTCCATCTCCAGGCGCGATGTGGGTGTGTGCGGGGTGCTTAGTGAGATCGCCAACGCAGAGGAGGAAGGTGAGTCGGGCCAAAGCTTCATTTCCCTTCCCCAACCAGTGTCTTCGAGGGATAAGGTAGCAGTCTCCTAATGCCCTCATCCCTGTTCTGTACTGCTGCCGTCTTCTGGACATGTCTGTGTCCTCCCCTTACCTCACCACTCCGCTAAATCCCTGAAGCCGAAGGGTTTTGATCTCTGCCCAAGCACTGGGGTTTGGACACTGCCATTTTAACCCTTACTCTGGGACCTAGATTCATAGATATTCGGGTCGGAAGGGACCTCAATAGATCATCGAGTCTGACCCCCTGCATAGGCAGGAAAGAGAGCTGGGTTTATTTGACCCCAGCTAGGTGCCTATTTAACCTCCTCTTGAAGACCCCCAGGGTAGGGGAGAGCACCACTTCCCTTGGGAGCCCATTCCAGACTTTGGCCACTCTAACTGTGAAGAAGTTCTTCCTAATGTCTAGTCTAATTGACCTGTCTCATTTCTGTAAGTCTCTTTTGAAGCCTACCAAACGTATAGCCCCAGCAGCATCTAGTGGCAAAGGGTTCCACAAGCCAGTGCTGTGGAGGCTGGACTGTATTTCCCTTCCATTCGCAGTGTGAAATTTGCTGTCTTGTTAAACCAGCAAATTGCACTCTGAGCCTGTCACTGTTCAGGGGCCCTAGCTGACCTTGGAGACCTACAGCTCTTCACTGGGACTTGCCTCTCCCTCCCTTGCTGCCTTTCAGCTCTAGGCATGTGGATTTCTGTGGTACTAGGGGGTCCTTTGAGAAAGGACAGTACTGCAGGATTTACACCTGACTTGTTACACCCATAATGCCCTGAGGGGTGCTGGTGCGTGCCTATTCCTGGGTCCCCGTTAGCTCTGAATCCAATTGCATGCCCCCATTTTGGGGAAGTGGCAACCCTCTCACTCAGGTCTGTTCTCTAGTTCTCCAGTGGGTGAAGACAGGATCACGCTACGCCCTGGCTGTGTGCCACTGGGTTTCTTCTCTCCATGGTTCCCTCTTCCCCCATTTGTCGGTGAGTGCTCCAGCTTATCTCTCCTTGTGCATCTGCCTGCCTTCCCATGCTTGCTTGTGCTCGGTGAGGGTTGGGTTACCCTGATCATAAAGCACGGTCTTTAGCCACACGAGCGGGAATGCTAATGTTGGATTCATACCATGTTGCTTTACCATTAAATGATCCAGACTTGCATGTCCGTTGGTGGCTGACTCATCTAGCAGTGTGACTGGCAGATGGCAGACGCCCCACACCAGCCATAAAAATGCAACTTTTTACTTGCAGCATTTTTTCATCTCTCTGCTCAGGGGGTTGGTATCATTAGAGGGGCAAAGCTGAGGCCTGGAGAACAAGTAGCTTGTGCTACCTGGCTTAGTAAATCACTGGCAATGAGAACCCAGGTTGCCTGACTCTTGGCCTGATCTATTAAGTCACAGCTGTCTGTGGGACCTACCAGTGTAATCCAGACACAGACCATACAGGCAGAGGGCATGAGTTATCCCCTTCTCTCATTCATTATAAAGGGAGAACAGGAGGATAGTGTTGCCAGTTGGAAACAAACTGACACTGCCCTCTGTTGGCATGATCTGCCACTGAAGTGCTTAATTCTTCTCCCATTTTTCCTTTTCTCAAAGCTAACAAGTGAAGACATGATAGCAGAGTTCTCCCAGGCAGTGGACTGGTAAGTTCTGTGTGTTAAGACTGCAGCGTGTGTATCAACTTAGGCCTGTAGCGTGGCCCATGGCTGTGGTGTCCAAGTTCCTAGCACATATGGAGGGAGGAAGGGCGGTATGACTCCAGTCTCAGGCATCAGTTTCTCACATGTGACCCCCCCTTTCTTGTGTTTCCAGGGCTGGTTGCTCCATCCGGGCTTTTGCTTGGCACCCCCATACCAGCAAGTTTGCTGTGGCCCTATTGGATGACTCTATCCGAGTGTACAACACAAACAGGTGAGGTGCGTTGGGCTGCTCCTGTTGCAGCCAGCAGAGTGAAGATGTCTGTGTTTCAAAGCTGTGGTGATCATAACTCTGTGTTTTAGTGCTATTATGCCTCTGCTTCTTGGGTGAAGACCTCTGTCAATCCCTGTTCCTGGGGTCTGGGAGCTTGTGCTGTGAGCACTTGGGAGCCATAGGAGTGTGGCTTTGCTCTGCTTCATCCAGCGCTTGGAAAGGGAGAGACAAATCAGTGAGCCCCTGGTTCATTTCCTGGCATAGTAGTAGGGGAGCAGAGCACGTCTGACATGCAGCCTGGAATGATGCTTTTCCCATGCAGTGGCACAGCCAGTAGAGTAGCTGAGAACGCACCTTGCTGGCATGGGAGTGACTTGGCTAGGGGCGGTGTCTCTCCCTTTCCCCTTGAGTGTCACTGCTTCTCGTTTCTCCTGCAGGTCTCCCCACTCTCCGAGTGGGTCTCAGCAGGCAAGTAAAAGCTTTCTTAAGAGAAGACTTTCCCAGTTCATTCTGAAACGCAGCCGGTGTTCCCCCAGGCAGGCTCCAGTGCCTGGCTGGGCTTTCATGCTGGCTACAGCCAAATCAACCCTTGGGACTAGGGCCCAGGCAGTCCCAGGTGCACCACTTAAAGAGACTAGGTGCGCTGTCATCTCCCCGTCCCCTTGAACCACTGAGTGTTGCAGCTGGGCTGTCCTGTGTTGTGATTTTTTTTTTTTTGCCCAGAGTTAGACCCTGACAGGGTCTGGGCACTGTGTGGAGGACTGCTGGGAGTGGGATCAGCACAGCAGAAAGGCTGTGACCAAGCATGCTGGTACAAGGAGGTGTTTTCACTCAGCTTCTGGGGTGGCCACGTGGGAAGGAAGTTTCCTAGGTGTTGGTGTGTTCTGATTAATTTTGAGGCCAGATCCCCCTGCTTTCAGTCCACCTGGTGTTGTATAGCCTCCCCTTTGCAGCAGACCTATGTGACTTGTTTGTTGTCCGCAGACCTGACTTAGGGAAGCAGTTCACAGCTTATAGCATATTTATCCTCGGGCTCAGCCGGCTTCCTGTTTTACAGGGGAACAAAGGGCTGTCTCTGAGGTCGCTCTGGAAGCTTTTAGTGGAGCAGAGAATTGGAATCCAGGTCTTCATGTCCCAGGCTGGCTCCTAACCCTGGGCCTCCCTGAACTTCCATTTAGAGCAGAGGTGCTTTAGGACCAGAAGGCTCTGGCTAGTTTAGCTTAGGATGCACATGCACTCGGTCACCACCCCTGCTAGGACTATTGAGCCTGGATGTCTCGGTAGCAAATGTGGGGGGATCAGGCAGTCCTGCTGTGCTCTTGACCCGTGTTGCTTTTTGCTTTCTTGCAGTGCCACAGTGCCCATCCTGAAGCATCGCTTGCAGAGAAATGTGGCCTCCATGGCCTGGAAGCCACTGTGCGCCTCCATCCTTGCTGTGGCATGCCAGAGCTGTGTGCTGGTGTGGCACCTGGACCCCACTTCCCTTTCCACCAGGTAACTAGCCACTGGGGAGGGGTTGGGGGCCCACATGCTGCTCTCCCATGTTGTGAGCACCACATGAGGCATTGCCCAAATTCCATGCACTTATCAGGGCTGTAGTGCTCCTCTTGTCCAGGTGAACTAAGCAGCTTATTGACAGAGCCTGATTCTCTGGGCATTGGGCCAAAGCTCAGGAATAAAGACTCACCAACTAGCTGCTTTGTGTAGACAGGCATGTTGCCTGCAGACCTGTCCTTTCTGGAACAGGTCCCAAACAGCTTGCATAGCGCTAGCCATCATTTATTTATTTATTTATTTACTTCCTGCCCACCCCCAGGCCTTCCTCTGGTTGTGCACAGGTGCTTTCCCATCCTGGTCACAGTCCCGTCACCAGCCTGGCCTGGGCGCCCAGTGGGGGGATGCTGCTTTCAGCCTCGCCGGTTGACACAGCCATGCTCGTGAGTAACAGCCACCTCCTTGTTGTTCACCGTGGGGGTTGGAGTGGAGCTGGCAATGCCTCTGGTGCTCTTTGCTGGATGGACCCAGCCTCATTGCTCCAGGGGCTCAGAGCCTCCTAAGGCATTCAGCGTGCTCCACAGTTCTGCAGCAGTAGCCAGCTCTCCTGGGAGACACTGGAACAGCAATCTGAACTGAGGTCTGGGAGCAGAGCACTGTGGAGGATCCATGGCTGGCATGGTGGGGGTGGGGATGAGAAATTAGGCTGATGGGTCATTAGCAGTGCTGCCTGGGAGGTGCCCAGGGCAGGGATAGCGAGGGGGGGGGCCTTAAGATGCTTGTAGCAAGATGGGTATTATAGGTGGGGACTGAGGTACATTGAGCAGGTCTGGCCCAACCCAGCACCTCTTTCCTTTCTCCATAGACCCATACTTCTTCATAGCCAAGCTGCTGCCAAGTGAGAAGCCCCAGACACTCCTTGTTTCCTGGGCCAGGAAGGGTCTGAGGGAGGTAGCTTGTTTAATCTGATGGGGGCAAGCCAAGTTGTTGGAAGTGGTTGTGGGCCAGTGATTGCAGCCAATGAGGCTGGAACTTGCTAGGTGAGTCTCCCTTACCAGGACAGGCTTAGGGAGCTGCATAGAGCAAGGAGATGTCTCCCACAAACAAGCAGATTACAGCCCTACCCACTGGGAAATGGTTCTCTCCCAGATCCACAGTAGAGCCTAATACCATAAGCATGGCCAGTGTTTGTCACACTCTCCCCTTGTAGGAAAAAACCTACCAGGGAGACAACTGAACCCAGCAGCAATGCCTGGATCCTCTCTAGCTTCCAGCTCTTCCTCCACCAGCCAGTATACTCCTACTCCCCTCTGATTTCACCCCTCTTTTCTGTGTCTCTCCAGGTGTGGGATGTGTCCACTGAAAACTGTGTCCAGCTGCAGTGGTTTGGAGGGGGCGGGGTCACCCATCTGGCTTGGTCGCCAGATGGCAGCAAGGTGCTAGCTGCTACACCCTCGGCCGTGTTCAGGTGGGCGCTGAGGGCCATGGGGAGTGTGGTATGAAGTAGGGGTTCCCAGGCAGGGTTGTGTGCCCCACTATGGGCACGTAAGCTTGATGTTCCTAAATGATTTCTTAGGATGGTATACACGGGGAGGATCAGGGCCGGACTGTTCATCCCCGGAGGTTTAAGAGCTGATTCCAAACCTTGTCTTTCAGGGTGTGGGAAGCCCAGATGTGGACGTGTGAGAGGTGGCCAACCATCAAGGGCCGTTGCCAGGTACTTTGGTGCACAGTGGTGATAGGCTTGCTCCTGGGTCAGAGCTAAAGAGAGGGAGGGAGTCGAGTGACTGGGTCTTGGGGTGGGTAAGGGATGAGCAGCTGAAAACTGAGCCCCTTGTGCTGCTGTGTGCGCTAGATTCATAGCAGTGGATGGCCTAACTGTGGGCTGAGCTGCCCAGTGCATACCCTTTGCTTCTCCAGGGCAAGACCAGCCCTAGCTGCTTTAGGAACTTAGAGCCAGATCCAGAGAAAGGACTTGGGTGCTGCAGGTGCAATGTCTGGAATTTCAGGTCCAAGTTACTGGCCTACAGACCCTGAGCGCTGCTGTCTGGTTTAAGCATGTCTCTCTGATTTTATTTTATTTTTTTCCCCTCTCAGACAGGCTGCTGGAGCCCTGATGGCAGCCGCTTGCTCTTTACAGTTCTGGGGGAGTCAGTCATTTATTCCTTGTCCTTCTCAGAGTACAAAGGTGAGTTTGCCCCCACTCCCCTCCATGGCTTCCTAAGCCATAATGCAGCTGTCTGTGGGCTGGGACGTGACTTTTTTTTCAAACAGCGTAGATGAATGGTGCACACTGACTTGGCTTAGCCCATGGAGCAGAGAGAGCTTTTTATGCACTCGGACCTGCAGGGACAATTTTAGGGAGGCAGAACAGAATAATCTGTTATGAAACTTGGCTGAGACATGGGCCACCCCCCAGTTCTTGTAGTATGTGGTAGGATCTCTTTCTCGTGAGCCTTTTGCAGAAAATCCAGACTGCAGATTCCTGTGGTGCAGACCTGGGAGACCGCTATCTGTTGCATGTTTGTCCACCCTGATATTCCTCCTAGTGGTGGGTGCAAAGTGCTGGTGGTCTGTGTTGCTTCACACACAGCCCTGTGACTTCATTAGCCCTGTCTGAGTGGCAGCACTCATCTTCCTCCATCTTATTCTCTTGCAGGAGAGATGCAGGGGCAAGTAGGAGGGCCCAAGACGGCATCTATTGTGGCAGACCTGTCAGAGACCACCTTTGAGACGATGTATGGGGAGGAGAGGTGAGAACCGGGCACATAGCAGTGCTGCAGGCAGGGGAGGTGCGACTGCTGGGAGCAGCTCTGCAGGTTCAGGCCCCAAGTGGAAGATGCAGATGGCCATATACACGTACATGTGTCCAGGCAGTTTGTGCTGCATGTATCCAGGTGTAGTATGATTGGGGCATCCTCCATGTTTGCCTCCAGCTCTTGTTTTGAGGTATTTTCCATGGAGGTTGGTGACATCTGCCAGAGCCAGTTGGAAAACAGGCAGTGCCTTTTCACTTTTTGTCCAGGGTCTCATGTCAACACCCACAGACTTGGTCCTGAGGCTTTCCATGGTGTTTGCACTTCTGGATCATCCCTGTGCTGGCACAGCCGGGGTGGCCAACAGAGGTAGATGGCTAGCATAACCCAGCTGTGCTCCTCTGTTCCCATCAGACAGGCACAGGGCTGCCTGGAACAGAGCCACACTACCAGGGAAACAGAGGGTCTGTGCACAGTTGTGAGCCCAGCTAGTCGGGGAATTTGTGGTGCTGCAGTGGGATGGGTATACAGGGATCCTGGCAGTGAATCGTCTGCCAGCCTGAGTGGCATAGGTGTAGTCTGAGTCTCCCCTGCCTTAGTGCAAGCTGCTCTTAACTCCCTGTATGTTGGTTGCAGGATTGGCGGGGAAGTACACTCCATGGTCTGGGACCCCAGCGGCGAGAGGCTTGCAGTCATCATCAGAGGTAAAACTCTGGATCCATCCATCTCTCCAGCCTGGAATGGGCCCTTCCTTGGGACTCTGGATCTGTACTGCCTAGATAGAGCCTGAGCAGGTCCAGTCTCCACACTTGGCATAATGTTAAACAGGGACAAGTGGCGGACCTGGGAGCCAAATAATGCACAAGGTGCTTGAGGCAGGAGTCAGAAAGGGGAGATGAGACAGATTCGAGGGGGGGGTCGGCCCTGGTCATCTGGGGTGGGACTTCCCGAAGGGGAGAAGCTGGCACCTGCTTAGGGTGCCAGCCTGGGCCTTGGGGGACCCTGACTCGGCCCACGCAGCCCTGTCATACATGTCCTCTGTGATATTGGGCATCCCTTAGCCTTTGTGCCTCGTTGCCCATCTGTGCAATAGCCAGAATGGTGCTGCCTGCCTCACTCCCTTGTGTGGGGATTGCAAGGTGGTTGGGTACAAAATGCCATGCCCCCTCGCACAGGAAGTGTGTGGAGAAGCAGGGACCTAGGCCCAGACCCCTGTTTCCCAGGATGCTGCTCTAATCCCCCTATGCCTGCTCCTTATATTTAAGCACCATGGCATCCAAGACCCATTGGGGTACATCACTTAAGTGTTTGGAAAGCCCCATCTCAGACATTGCTTTCCCCAGTTTTTTAGCTTCATGTTCCAAGGGACAGGAGGTTAAGTTCGTTTCTGTCCAGACTTTGTGGCAGTCTGGTTCAGAGCTGTCAAGCAGAGGAGGAAGGTGGATGTTTCAGCCAGTGGGATCCCTTCACAAATGAGATGAAGCTTGCTAATTGAGTGTTATCCACAGTCCTGTGGGTGTGTGCTGTCACAGCTGTTTCCTGTGCGCTCGTGCCTTTGCCTTCTCCAACCCTCTCTCGTGGTTTTCCCCTTTTAACTCGCACAGCTGTTCCTGTTTTTCAGACATAACAACTAACACACCACTTTCTTGTCTTTCTTCTCCAGGAAACCCTGGAAGCAGGACAGTCATCGCTGTGTTTCGTACTCGCAACAGCCCAGTGTTCGAACTCCTGCCATGGTGTGTGTTGTTGGCTTAAATGGTAGCCCTTTGATTTCAAAGGCAAAGGGTCTGTTCTGCTGGAGATTTCACAGCTATAGGACTTCTCCACCAAACCCCTGGCTCCTGTCTGAGCAGGACCATTTCTCCAGTGTGATTTCTGGCAGGAGAATGTGCCCTGTTCTTGGTGCTTTTCCTTCAGAGGGTGTAGATGGACCAGCAATAAAATAGTGGGGCCAGCCTCCTTGGCAGGCAGGCTACAAATTAGCTCCGCACCCTCCTGAGTGCCACTCTGATCCCCTTCCCCTGCTTCCTGCCTGAGCTGCTAGTCCCTTCCCTAATTTACTGTGTGCCACACACACACAGGCTACATGAGCCACTTGTGGAGTGGCACTTGTGGCTCATGTGCCGCAGGCTAGGCACACCAGAATTAAAGCACTTGAGTGCTTCACAGCTGCTCCATCTGTGAGCTGAACTGTTGCAGTTGACTGCCGTTTCATTCCGTGGCAAATTTAACATGGTTTAGGCACTATTTCTGTCTGCACCAAGTGTGTAGGGACCCGGGTGCATCAGATCAGCTGGTCCACACCACGTAGCAGTTGCCTGCCCTCTCTGAAGTTGTCACGTTTTAAGTCTGTCTGAGGTGCAACTCAGCCCTCAGCTCCTATCCACATTTGAGAAGCAAATGCAGCAGCTTTAGTGCTGCTTTCCTAGCCAGGCATGAGGGCCAGAGGAGGTCTAAGACCCATAGCCCATACTGATGCCCATCATGAAGGGGGTTGATCTGTTGTGATCAGCACAGAGCTACCTAGGCAGTAACTGTTCTTTCTCTCTCCAGCGGCTTCGTACAGGGCGAGCCAGGAGCTCAGCCACAGCTCATCGCTTTCCATCCCTGCTTTAAGAAGGGGGCCCTCTTGACTGTGGTGAGTGCAGCTTTGTTATGGGCTTTTCCAGGTATGCAGGGCCAGCTTAGCTTAGTTTAGCTTAGCTTAGTTTAGCTTAGCTGAGATGGTCTCAAGATTTCCCAACGCCCTGCACAGACCCTGATGGCTGAATTGGATTTCTTCTTGGCGCACATTCTGCAGCAGGAAGACTGTTCCTGGAGTGGCCAGGCAGCAGCAAACAGAAGCTAGCTCTGGATGTGGTGGGGTGGGACATGGCTAGCTCTGCTGGCAGTGGGAATACGCCCATTGCCACTACCCTGACTTGGGGTCCGTTGGCCTACGGCCACGAGGCCGATGGTGTGGGCAGATGGCACCAGAGCCAGGCTCCGATAGGGCAGAGGGCTGGTGTGCCCAGTGCTGGTTCAGTGTCCATGCTCTATTCTCTCTCTTTCTTCTCCCACCCAGTGCTGGTCTACAGGACGGATCAGCCATATCCCCTTCTTCTTTGTGGGCGCCCAGTTCCCTTGCTTCAGCCCCAGCCACAGTCCCATGGCATCCCTGAGCAGGAGCAGCACCAGGGTACGTGAGCAGCCCCTGTTCTCAGAGCTGTGAAGCCTGATGCTTGGGGGCCTAAGGTCGGACTGCTGTTCAAGCCCCTTTGGACCTCCCAGTAAAACTGGATTGCAGTGCTGGGTAACCATAGGACACCTCGTGGTTGTTGCTTCCTCCTTGAGCCTGACCTGAAGTGGGCTTTTCCCTTCCAGTGGGGACATGCACAGGGATTGGGCGGAGGCTGCTGGATGGACTGAATGGATTTGTATCCAGTGGTATCTGTGCAGGGCTGGGGACACCTCTGTGCTGTGTGGGTGGATGTAGCAGCCCGCGTGGTGCTACGCAGATTAAAGGTCAAGCTTTGTCTCCCTTTTTGTCTGGCTTCTCTAGAAGTGTCTGAATCCAGCTACTGCGCCGGGGTCTGGGTCTCTGTAGAGCAGACTGGCTTGGAATCCGAAGGGCCTGAGTTCATTCCTGGCTACTGACTTACCCTTGGTGCTGTGTTGCATACAGGTGTGCAGCTGGCTGCGTGGAGCAGGGAAGGGGCTATTTTAAGGTCCGTAAGGTGTGGAACCCAGGTGTCCTGTATAGGTGACCTTTCTTACTTGGGGCATCTCTGACCAGCTTTATATAAAAGCAACTTAACTGATTGCACGGGCCCAGGATTGTGCCCAGGTCCTGGGCTAGATTGCTGCACAGACCAGGGCTGTCTCGCAACAGAGGTATTCTTATATCAGCTCTGAGGCAGCGGGGAGTTGAATCCAGATCATGCAAGCCCCAGGCTAGTGACTGAATTGCTAGACCCGCCTTCAGTAGAGGAGGCTTTGGGATTTTCACTTGGTTTGCTGGTGGCTTTGTAGCTGTGGTCAAATATATGTAGTCTAGTAGTGGTCCTTGAGAGGCCTGCACAGAGGCTGTGGATAAAACCAACAGTTCAGAACAGGCTGAAAAGAAACATCCTATTGCCTCGCCTATGACATCTGTTTTTCCAAAAATCGGCTGCTGGAAATTGTGGTGGGTGTTATAAGTGGGGAAATACAGTTGCATCACATACTGTTATTGGTGGGAAAATGAAATAAGACTGCACCTCCTCCCCAGGGAGCAGTGTGTTGCTCCTTAGTATCTGCAAGATCTTGTTTTCCTCTATTCTGCCTTTCAAAAACCAGCTGCATGTCTCATTCAGGAACGTGTGATAGGCAAGATGATATGGCCCATTCCTTGGGAATCTAGTGGACATGCTGCTGCAGGGCAGGAGGAAGCAGAGCTGAGTGGGATTCAGTAGAGGAGGAGATGCAGATGTGAAAAGTACCCTCTGCTTCTGAACAGGAGATATCAGCCACCAGGACTGCATTTGCACGGATTACAGCTTGGGCGGTGTGTCCTGATCCTCAGAGTCTCTGCCCCTGGGAGCGAAGAGACTTCCGACTGTTGGTTGAGGAGTGGGCTGATGATGACTTCCTCAGACCCCCTGCCAGACGGGACCCCAGACACTCGCCATTTGCAACGATGGCTTGTGGCAACTCCCTGTGTTCTCTGCTTTTAACGACTTGCCCTCAGCAGAGCCTGAGGCGACGTATTGGCAGCTGCTGTTAGAGCTCCTGCACTCGGAGTCCCCGGGAGGGTTGACTCTGATACCCCTGCTTCGTGCCGCAGAGCCCTGCAGCCCTAGGAGCCAGCAGGAAGCAAGAGGCCAGCTGTAACGAACATGGTGAGAGGGCAGAGCCAGTCACACCCCCACTGTCTGTGCCAGCAGGAAGCTGTTGCTCGCTTTGTTTGTGCATTAAAAAGCCGCTCAAGTGGCTCAGGCTGCAGGGAGGAGGCACCGGAGAAAGAAATGAGAGCGTTTTGAAGCCCTATAGATCTGGCCTAAGCTTAGGGTTGTCTGACTTCCCTCCTGCCTGGTCTCGGCTCTCTGCAATTAAAGGATAGCACTGAGCAGGTGTCTTCCAGAGGGACCTGTGCATGTCCAGCATCATACCAGATGCCTCTGACAGAGCCCAGACTCCAGCTCAGGGCAGAAGTGAGGGCACCGGTGGAGTCTGGATGCCTGGGTTCTACCTTCAGCACTGGGGAAGATCAGGGGCTTGTGATAGCTTCAGAGGAGCCTGGACTCCTGAGTTTGGCTCCCAGCTCTAGTGGGGCAGGGTGAGGGGGCTTGCAGGGTACCCAGACTCCTGGCCTTGCTCCCCACGCACCTGTGCCCCACATGGTCCCAGCACACAGTGAGGGTGGTGCAGAGCTGGGAGCAGCCCCAACCTGACCGCTTTCCCCCACCCAGAGCAGAGGCTGCACCCAGCTTAGTGCTGAGCGCTGCAGGGGAAGCCCAGGCAGTGCCCTATCCCTCCACACACCCCACCCACCTAAGGGCCCAGCACGCTGCCCCAACAGGAGGGCAGGTGCAGGTGGCAGAGCCCATGGGGCAGGGCTGGGGACCACATGGCAGTGTGGGGCAGGGCTCTGGGCCGCTGCAGTCCAGCAGGCAAAGGGTTAGAAGGGGAGGGGGATCAGCCCCTGGGTCTTCATGGCTCACAGCAACCCAGGGGCTGTGGCTAGAGTGGGGGTGATCCTGAAGCAGAGGTGAGGGTACCACTGGGCTGCTTCTGTCCAGGCCTAGGGCACATCCTCCAAGCCCCAGCTACCTGGGGATGGCTGTGAGCTCTGCCCCACCACACCCTGGAGCTCAAGGGGGTGGGAATGGGCTGGAGGCTAGTGCCTCTCTTCCCCTCCCTGGCACTCTGGAGCCTGCCCAGCCCTATGAGCAGCACCATACAGGACCTCCCCCACCCCGCTGATACTGGGCTGTGGCACCCAGGGATTGGGGCAGGGCAGACTCATTCCAGCCCCATTCACAAACGGACCCAACCTGTTCCTGGAGAAAAGGGGCACCCACAGCTATTGAGCAGGGGAGGGAAGGACACAGTTTCTGGATCAGACTTGACCGCAAGTGAGAGGAACTGGGGAAAACCCCTGATCAGACCCAGGTCACTCTCCCTTTCAGGTCCCTTGGAGTTGTTTCCTAGCAGGCAAGATGGGAAATGCTGCGGTCCTTCAGGCCCTCTCGCAAGGATGCAGCTGGATGCCCTTGGCATAGATGGTGCAGAGGTTGGCTTCCTCGAAGAGGCCCCAGGCAGGTTTTGCTGGCCTCCTGCAGTGCCAGGACAGCTGTGCTCTGGGCGCACAGGTCGATCTTGGAGTCCTGTGGGATCTCACGCCCCAGATGTGTGGCTTGCTGGGCAGCAGGCCTTGCCCAGGCAGCCTCCCCTCATGCCTCCAGAGCCAGCCCAGACAGTTCACCCTAAATGCCCACCCCCCCCAGCACCAGCACAGACTGACCCAGCGCCCAGTTGTGCCACTTTATTTAGTCCTCTCTGTGTAAGGATGATTCTCTCAGCTAGCGCCCGCCCTAGTCCAATAGGCACTGCACCTCAGTGCCTCAGGGAGCTGCTGCCTCCTCCTCCTGCCCCCAGCCTGAGCTGCTGGGAGGACAGGGGATCCTCCATTCCCCTCCACTGCAAAGTTGGGGGTGTTGGGTCTCAGCTGCCCTGCGAGTCCAGTGCCAGCGTCTTCTGTGCCATCAGCAAGGCGCCTTCTTGTGTCTGGTTGCCCCCGATGAAGCCGTTGGTGTGCACAAAGATGCAGCCGGGGATCCCACTCAGCTGTGAGAGCTCCTGGTCACGGAGGCTGCGCCATGCCTCCAGGAGGGGTAGCCTGTGCCCAGAGAGGGAGGGAATTAGGGACAGGCAGGGGCTGGCAGTCCGATGCCAGAGCTGCACAGACAAGGGTAGGCCCCCAGCCCCACTTCACCACCAGCTTCCCGTGAGATTTGGGGCAAATCACTCAGCCTAAAAGATTTAGGGGTCTCAGCTCTCTTTAGACCCCCTAAATGGGACTGAAGCTTCTAAATCACTTAGGGCCACATGCCAGCCTGTGATCTACCCTCCCTGTAGACAGGCAGTAGCCAGCTCAGACCCCACTACCCCCACCTTGAGGGTACATGGGGGGAGGGGGGGCCTCACCGGCTGTGGAAGCTGTGCAGCGCGGCAGGGACACTCTGTACGCGCCACCGCCCGTTCTGGTCTGGGTACAGCACGAACTTGATGGGCGTCTCCACACCCAGCTCTGCCTCCAGGCTGAAGAGGTGCTCCTTCCAGGGGCAGCTGCCTCTCGGCAGCACCAGGATCTCCCCACTGGGGTCCACCTGGGGGACAGGGAGGCAGGGAGAAGCATGGGGCTCTGTGCGCCTTGCCCAGGATGTCAATACCCCCCTTGCTGGGACCTGGCACCCCCCCAGCTCCCCTCACTTTGCCGACTGGGAGTGGACCCTCGCCTGCCCTTCATCTATGATGCCCACAAGCTCTGTAGTACAGATAATTGTTACTGCCAAAGGAAACCCATGCGCTTGGCAAGAGCAGAGACCATCCCAGCAGGGGCCATGCTGGGAGCAAGGACTCCTGGGTTGTATCCCTGTGCTGTGGGGGCAGGTCCTGGCTTAGCAATAGCCTTGTAGAAGGCCAGGGTGCCTCCCCAGGGCAGAAGGTACCTCAAAGCGCTTCTGAACGGCATCCTCCACCAGGGTGCGGGCGGGCAGCCAGGCGCGGTGGTAGTAATCCAGCCGGTCCAGGAACTCGGCCTTCACCAGCTCCATCGCCTTCTGGAACTGGGTCTGCAGGGGGGGAAGACAGCCGGTATAGGAGCGGCCTAACCCAGGCGCACAGTCAGGCCCACTCTGCCACCCACCTTCCAGGGCATCCCTGGACCCTGGGGGGTGCTCAGCTCTACCCTGTGCAGGAAGAGCAGGTGCCCATCCATGGCAGCATGAGGGGGAGTGGGTCCAGCTGGTTTCTGGCTGGCGAGGCTGAGAGTCCTGACGCCATGTGGCTTCTTCCTCTACACACGTGTCCATGGGACAGGTCACCTGTATCTGCTCCCTGCTACATGCCTCATGGTCCAGCCCACCCCCTACCTTCATCTGCTTCTCCCCCTCCATGTGTAACCATGGTACAGCCTGATCTATGCCGGGATCAGCTCCTCCCTCTACATGTGCCCAGTGACGTCTTTGAAGATGTCATCCCCCCGCGCGACAGCTGAACGATTTCGGGGGCACTTCTGGTCTCATGAATTGCCCTCTCTTCCCTGCTCCCACCCCTGATTCCCCACAGGCCTCACCTCAGTGTCCTGGTTGGGGTCGTTCCAGCGGGGGTTGAGGAAGCTGACGCGAGCACTCAGGCCCGTGGTCATGGCATAGCGGGGCTTCCCGTCCAACTGTGCCACCCCATTGTCGATGGCATCGATCTCCTCCATGAAGTTCTCATAGAGCTGCCGGGGCAGAAGGAGGTGGTAGGGCTCAGCGGGACAGTCCCTCCTGTCCCCAAAACACCCAAGGAGTCCGGATCTGAGCCTGCCTTGGAGGGTCGCCTGCTCCCGTGACCCACTGTGCCGCAGAGAAGACCCCGTAGGCTGGCACTGCTACCTGAAGCAAGCGTGACTGGTGGGAGAGCGCCAAGGGAAGCCCAGGAGGCCATGGATGCCATGCGTCTCTCCCTAGCAAGTGGGGTCTAGCGCAGCAATCCTCAACCAGGCAGCCACGGTGCTCAGAGCTCCCTTCAAGGGTGCTGTGGGTGCCACACAGAGTACGCCACGAGCTGTGCCAATGCAGTGGCAGCTGGCAGGGAGCTAGGACTCCTGGGTTCTGCCCCGTTTCCAGGTCCGGGAGGGGAGGGGCAGGTAGAGCAGGGACCTTTCCTGCACAGGGCAGTCGCTGTTAGGACTCCCCTAGCACCCCCCCTGCCACATACCTTATCGTACAGCAGCTGCACCACGGGGTCGTCCTCCGCGCGCCCCAGCAGGTGGGCCAGGATCTGGGAGCCGAAGTGCAAGTACACCAGCCCCGCGCTGCTCAGCTTGGTCGTCCACGGCTTGTCGGGCCTCAGGTCGTGCATGGACTGCGAGAAGGACCTGCCCGGCCCCGGAGAATCAGCCCCGTGGCCTCCCCCGCCCCCCAGCACAGGCAGCTGGACCCCGCGGCGCCGGGTGCTGCATGGACCCTGCGGCTCAGAGTCCAAGGAGGGGAAACTGAGGCAGGGCAAAGCCAAGCCACTGGGGTTCCCGGCAGGTACGGGGCCAAGCTGGTGTCCGGAGAACCAGTGCCATGCTCCAGACTCTGGCCCGCTCCCTCTTGCAAAGGGAGACGGGGAAGGGGCCCGGGCTCACCTCTGGTGATGGTCGTAGCGGTGCCGCTGCGGGTCGTACTCGCCGCCCACGTCCACCACCACGTCGCACTGGGCCAGCAGCTGGGGCTCCCGCGTCCGCACGATCTCTGCATCCTTGGGGGAGGGAAGGTGCCCGTGAGGGGGCTGGAGGCCCCCCCCCTCACCGCGCACTGGGGATGGGACCCACAAACACCCCCAGCCCCACCTGCACCGGGGTCCCCGTAAGGCAGGTGGGAGCCCTGGACACCCCAAAGCCCTGGGGCAGGCTGGGAGGGGGGGCACAGACCCCAGGGTGCTGCGTTGGGGGGGGTCCCGGGGAGGGGGG